ATTTGAATTCTACAGACCTCTAGAATTCAAATAAAAAAATTTTTATTGAATTTGGTTAGGTGGGTATCGAGATATCTTCGTTCAAAGTTTTAAAAAATTTTAATTTTTGTGGGGATATGATTACCAAATGTGGGGGTATGAATACCAGCACCCTAAACAAATTGATAATATTACATTACTATTAATATAATTTCAGAAATTAGTTGCATGAACTAAAAAGATATCAGAGCTTATTTTCTCACATCCTTACAAAGAAATTTTTAAAATTCTTCAAATTAATTATACTTTCTTTGAAATAAGTGAAGATGAAGCTGAAACGTCAGCCAAAAAGCATGAAAAAAAAAATTATATGTTTCAGAAATAGCTTTTATATCAGAAGAAGTAATTTGCATATTATTTTTTTTATATATTTGTACCATGTAATGTTCAAATTGATTCTTATTCATAAATGATTCTGAGATTTGACTTTGGTTGGCTTGTATTTGGTGTTGAATAATTATCTATTTGCTAATTTTAATTTTTACAAATGTATAGCAGTAATTATTTAGTGTCTTAATTCTCATATCAAATACTTTACTTATTAAGGACTAGTCAATTTAACAATTCAATTCAAATGCAGAGATTATATTAATAACTTAATTATTTTTAAGGCTATCCATATTATTAAACAAATCAATTGAGCTATAAGAGTTGATGAATCAGGTAAAAAAAGTAGTGGTTAGATTCAACCTGATGAATATATTCATATTACTCAAGAGGACGAATGTTATACTAGCCTAGTTGCTAAAATACCTGAATCCAAAATAAATAAATTACCTTCTTGGGCTGTCTGTAAAGATGCAATTTGTATATCCAGCAGTGATAACAGTTCTAGCAGTTCTGGTAAGTGTAATTATTATTATTATTATTATTATGCATTATCGAATCCTAACTAATATATATATTTTTTAATTAAAATTTTAAATTGCATTGGCGAATTTCATTATAATTACTATGAATCCCACTAGTAATAAAATTTGAATTTAC